GTCTTATTTACTGGAGTTTAGGTAGCGAACTGGGTAGGAAAACCCTAGGCTTGGGGCTTAGTTCCCTCAATGGTGAGAAGTCCCATCTAGTAGGGGCAGGCAGGGTTGAAGCAGCCAGGAGAGGCCTATTTTTGGCCTGGAACAAAGAAAATTTATGGCTTAAGCCAAATGTGTTTCTCTGAGAGAGGGTGAGGAGCTCCTTATTTGGAGACAATGGCGGCCCCATGGCATAATGCTAGGACACAGCTGGGTGGAGGCCGGGGGGGAGGGGTGGTGTAGGGGTATTAAGGAATTTCTAGAGTTCACCAGTGGGACCCTTTGTACAAACCATACCTGAAAGGTGGGTATGTAAAAACAGAGCTTTTCTGATATCATTAGAAAGAGGAAAGAGAGTGCCAATAGAGGCCTATACAGGATTAGTCTCTCTCAACCTTAACTTTGTGCTTTATACTTACCAGTTACCCCCTCCCTTCACCCCAATAAAACTTTGCTTTACTACCTGCCTACACTTAATTTCCTTCACATATGTTCTCCATTTTTCCTGAAATGCCCTGTCCCATCCATTTCTGTGCTTTTAAACAATTCATCTTTTAAGACCTTAACCAATTATCACATTTCCTCCAAAGCCTCCTCTAACTTCTTGTTTTAGAGATGATCAAATATCATTTATTAATTTATTTACCTACCAGTATTTATTAATTGTATTATGTATTCTTGCATAATACATAGTGTATTATGTATTAGGCATTACTAGGCATTGTGAAGATAATACAATTGGGTATTTACTCACTACCTATTAAAAATCCTTCAATGGTTCCCTATAAAGTTAAAATTCTTAGCATGGCTAACAGCATCCTCCATTTTCTGGCCCCTGACAAGTTTTGAAGGCTTACTTCTCAGCACGTGTCTTCTTTACACTTTATCTGTACCCAAGGAGTTCACTTAGTATGGCTCTCTCTCAAGTCTCTGTTCCTTTGTGCAATATTCCCTTCTTGTCTACTTGGTGACCTCCAATCATCTCTTAATTCTCAGTTCTGGGAGCATTTCCTGTGTGAAGTATTCTCTAAAGGATTCTCTTGTGCTCATTCAAATCCAATAGTATCAGGTACTTCCTCTTTTGTAGTTCCACAGCATTCTATATTTAATTTATTCATACACTATATTGCAAATTTTTTGTTTGCATATTTATCTTTATCCAGCAGCCACTTTATGGCAGAGACCTCCTATCCATCTTTGTTACCCCAGGCACCAATATAAAGCCTGGCACAAAACTGTACTTAGTAAATGTTAACTAAATGAACAAATGAATAAGAATACATTTATTCCGTTGAACAAACTGAATGTCTCAACATGGATATTAAATGACAGAAGAGGGAAGCTGAATGGATAATCTCCCTACTCCATAATTTTAACTATAGAGTAATTGTTAATTGTGGGGGATAAAGCTCTAACTCAAGGTAGAAGAAGAAACGGCTAAGAAGAAGCTCTTCTATAACTACCACCAGCTCTTCTCCTCCACCCTGTATTCCCCTTACTTGTTTCTTTAGTTGTGTCCCTTTTCTTGTTCCAAAAGGAATTTTGATATCCCAATAGATATAAGTTGAAGAAGGCCATCTTAGCTCCTCCCTGTCCTCTTCTGGAATGTCCAGGCTGGGGCACTGGTCTCTGTGTTTGGTAACCATGGTAATGCCCTGAAGAATTACTATGACTGACACTCCCTTTATCTAAGGAGACAGGATTTATGGGTTCAATGTAGAGCTGGAGTGGGAGTGGGCTAAATAACTTCAGAAAAATGGAGGAATCAAGTGCCAGTTACTCTTTTTCTTGTCCCAGTCTTATGTGTACTGTAAGTTTCAGAAGGCAGCGAGTTGAAAGAGCACAGACCTGGGGTCAAATATTAGTTTTGCCATATTCTTGGGATCTTTGAATAGGTTAAGCCTCTGTTTTATTTTTAAAAATGGCAATGGTATCTACTTCATAGATTTAGAATTAAATTGAGATTAGATTCTACTTCATAGATTGAGAATTAAATGAGATAATACATGCCAATTTCCTCAGTATAGTGTTTAGCATATGATGGAAACGACAGTATTTTAATGTAAATATGGTATTTCTGATGAGTCTTTAAGCTATTTCAAGCAGAGTGCTCAATCAGTTCACACTAGTTTTTAGCTGCCTGTTAAATTTTCAGGAATTTTGCAAGCTCGTTGTTAAACAAGCCACTATTAAAAAGTATCTAAACATACAATTGAATAAACGATATTAAAAATAAAAGTAATAGATACTAAAAACTCATCTCTTCCTATACTACATTGTACTATTATATATAGGCTTATGAAGTTATTTATATGTATTGTATCTAGATATTGTTTTTATTCTTTTTTCTCTTTGCTTTTCAGTTTGCGAAGTTTCTATTGACATATCTTTAAACTCACTGATTCTTTACTTGGTTGTGTCCAGTGTATTGATAAGCCCATCAAAGGCATTCATTTCCTTTACGGTGTTCTTCAGTTGTGTTTTTTTTTTTTTTCCTGAAGTAAGCTCTAGGTCTAACATGGGGCTTTAACTCATGACTCTAAGATCAAAAGTCTACTGACTGTGAGCCAGCCAGGCACCCCTATTACAGTGTTTTTTATGTGATATTTCCTTTTGTAATTTTTTTTTTTTTTTAGAGAAAGAGAGTAGGAGTGGGAGAGAGGGAAAGAGGGAGATAGAGAATCCTATGCTCCATGCTGAGCATGGAGCCTGATGTGGCACTTGAATTCATGACCCTGGGATCATGACCTGAGCAGACATCAAGAGCCGACACTCAACCGACTAAATCACCCAGGTGCCCCTCTAACATTCCCTTTTGATTCTTAGCTTTCATCTCCCTGCTTGCATTACTCATCTGTTCTTGCATGTTGTCCACTTCTTCCTTTAGAGTCCTTAGCATATTAGTCAGTTAAATTCCCAGTTTGATAATTCCAAAATTATCAACAGTCTGGTTCTGATGCTTGCTTTGTCTCTTGAACAGTACTTTTTGCCTTTTGGTATGCCTTATAATCTTTTTGTAGAAAGTTAGATGTGATATATTGGGTAAAAGGAATGGGGGTTTTATATTTATCTGTTTGGGAATTCGGCTGGTATTTCCTGTTTGCTATGGCTATACCTGTCAGAGGCTAAAATTTCCTCTGATGTCTCTGTCTCCCATGTTGTCTTTGGGTTTACCTACAGACTCCTTAAATAGGGTCTGAATTTGTAGTTCCTTCCATTGTAATCCTGTTATTATACAGATCTACTGATGTGTTGATAAGAGGGGGAAGCTGGGGAAGTGTTTTTTGTTTTTTGTTTTTTTTAAGTTTATTTATTTTGAGAGAGAGAGCATGAGCAGGGGAAGGGCAAAGAGAGAGGGAGAGAAAGAGAATCCAAAGCAGGTTCCACACTGTCAGTGGTGAGCCTGATGCAGGGCTGGAACTCATGAACTGTGAAATCATGACCTGAGCCGAAAACAAGAGTCATCCGCTTAACCCGACTGAGCCACCCAGGTGCCCTGGGGGAAGCGTTTTATAATCCTGTCAGGTCTCAGTGTTTTAGTGAGTTTGTGTCCTCCCTGGACTGACCTTCACAAATGCTTATTAACTTATCCCCTTCCCCCACCCCCATCTTAGGTGAAACCAGAAGGCTAGAGGAGGCTGGAGTTGGTTATTTTCCTTCTCCTATGTTGGTTAGGCTCTGTTAAGTAGCTACTATTGAGGACAGGCCTTTGTTAAGGAGAACTGAATGCTCTGGGTCTATTTCCAAGTATTTTTTCTCTCTCCCTGCCAGAAGGATGAGGGGATTTTTCTCCAATCTTCAGAGTAAGACCTATGGGGCTCCTGGAGGTAAAACTCATGAAAATGTGGGGGCCCTCAGGAGTTTTTGTTTTTGTTTCAATCTCTCAATCTAGCCTATGTGCAGTCTCCAGCAGTTAGTCAACTGCCCAAGTATTCCTATCAGTTTCTGGTTTCAAAAGTAGTTTTTGCTCCCAGTAAGCCATGAGTTTCTGTTCTGCCTCTTCTGATTCTGTCTTTCTAGTTTTTATGGTGGAGGTTTGCCCTGTCATGTCAGTTCTCTGCTGGATCTAACAAGGGTTGTTGATTTTCAGTTTGTTCATGTTTTTTTGTTGTTATGAGAACAGGGGCAATGACTTCCAAGCTCTTTACATATCAGATTGGAAACCAGAAGTCCCTGTCTATTGTTATCTATACGGAGGAAATACTACGTGATGGTGTGTTCATCTCTTCCCAATTTCATGCTCAGTGATGTCATATTTGTAGCCTGAAATTGGCCATAATGGGAGAATTTACAATACAGAATTGGCAAATGCTACAAACAAAAGCTTTATTTATTTATTTTGTTGACTAGACTTAAGAAAGCGATAAGAGAATAAGTTAATGTAGATTAAGTTTAAAAGTGTATCATGTTGGGGCACTTTGGTGGCCCAGTTGGTTAAGCCTCTGACTTTGGCTCAGGTCATGATCTCACGGTTTATGAGTTTGAGCCCTACATCAGGTTCTCTCCTGTTGGCATAGACCATACTTCAGATCCTCTGTCTTTCCCTCTCTCTGCCCCTGCCCCACTGTCTCTTTCTCTCTCTAAAATAAAGATATTAAAAAAATAAACACAAAAAAGTATATCATGTCTATAGCCATTAAATTGTCAATAGCTCAAAAAATTGAAAGATTCTTCAAGTTTTCAAAAACTATTATCCAAGTCAGCAAAAATGTTGCTCAAGTCACTGAAAATAAGTGGAGTTCCAACATTAAGTCTCATTGTTTCACTTTTATTTTATTAACATAAATGAAAATGTCAACCAATAGTCAAAACTATTCTCATTTGTCAAATGAAATCACAGGTTAGTTCTTAAAACAAGAATTTGGCAAAACTGGAGGTGCCTGGGTGGCTCAGTCGGTTGGGTGGCCAACTTTGGCTCAGGTCATAATCTCATGGCTTGTGAGTTGGAGCCCCACATCAGGCTCTGTGCTGATAGCTCGGAGCTTGGAGCCTGTTTCAGATTCTGTGTCTCCCTCTCTCTCTGCCCCTTCCCGCTCATGCTCTGTCTTTCTCTGCTTCAAATATAAATAAACATTAAAAAAAAAAAAGAATTCAGCAAAACTGGGTTAAAGTATTCTGTGAGAATCAACTGGCTATAAGAAATTTATGATAAAGATTGTAGGAGTGCCTGGGTGACTCGGTCGGTTAAACTCAGGTCTTGATGTCATGGTTCCTGAGTTTGAGCCCTGCGTCGGGCTCTGTGCTGACAACTCAGAGCCTGGAGCCTGCTTTGGGTTCTGTGTCTCCCTCTCTTTCTGCCCTTCCCCAACTTGTGGTCTGTTTCTCTCTCTCTGTCTCAATAAACATTGGTTTAATGTTTAAATAAACGTTAAAAAAAAAGAAATTTATGATAAAGATTGTATATTCTATTTTTTAGAAATTGTGTGCTACACATCTTTTATGTTGGTAAGTTTATGTATAAACTTATGTACATATATGTATACATATAATTATTTTCTGGATAGCTAGTTGTTAATAATTTACCAGAACACCCACACACCATGGCAAATTTCAAGCTATCAGAGTGACATCAACTGAATGTGGAATTAGGAACAGTTACAAATGGCACACCATCTTTTCATGTTTTAATTTGGAGACTATACAAATGTTAGAAAGAAATTTTTGGGGGGAAATTTCTTTTTTAAATGTTTAAGAGAGGGAGAGAGAGAGAGAGAGTGGGGGGCAGGGAGAGGCAGAGAGAGAGAGAGAGAGAGAGAAAGAGAATCCCAAGCAGGCTCTGAGCTGTCTGTGCAGAGTCTGATGCAGGGCTCGATCTCATGAACTGTGAGATACTGGCCTGAGCCGAAATCAAGAGTCACTTAACTGACTGAGCCACCCAGGGGTCCTGGAAAGAAACTGTTTTAACAGTAGTAGATGGTAATGTTCAACGTGGATGAAATACAACATTTGTAAGCACAATGCAAAATAAGATCAAACCATGCGATATGGTATAATCCTACATTCAGAACAAGATTAATCTAGTTATGAGGAAGAGTAGCTTGATGGGTTTCATTTATAGGAAATAGGGTCCTATTTAAATTAAAAAAAGAAGAGAAAAAAAGGAAAATTCCTCTGGTTTAAGATTTTGTCAATTGTTCTTTCAGAGCAACTTATCTGAAGGTTAACATTATTTTTTATTTT